AAGTCCCCAAGAATAGTGGATACTTCTTACGGCAAAGTGATTTAAGTATGATCAGAGCTCAGATACTATTGTGACAAAAGCCCAAGAAGTCATTAATAATTCCGTCTTTAAAACAAAGTTGAAATAGTTTGCAGTAAGGTCTGGGGTCACATTAAATATTGATGCTGAAACAAAATACAGGATACTTGCTCAAAAAGTGAGCACCACCCTCATGTGGACTAAATGAGACAGATCTTGTGGAAAAATAGTATGTGGGACTGTAATAATTAAAGACTTCTGTACTGTTAACACAGGCAACCTTAATGTTGGCATTTGCTAACTTTGCTTGACTTTGTAACATAAATAAAGTTCTTTTAATATAGTTGTTGCTTGTAATTGTAAATCAAGTATGTTATAGTTAAAATCAGAACTCAGATGCTGGATCTGAATCTTATATAAATTTTTGCAGCTTTGGGTAGTTCCTAATTTTAAATAAGCGAGTATCAAAGTTGCGCTGCTTTTAATGTGTGTGATTTTATGCCTTCCTGAATTGGGACCGTAAGCAAGAGCTTTTAGAGATCTGTGTCCCTGCCTTAGCAGTTGATGTCCATTTTGTTTTGCTTGTGGTTATATTAGTTACTTGTGCCCTTGTTCTCTGATCAATTTTGATGGCAACTTCCTTAAAAGAAAGCATTTAAAGATAATGTTGTAAAATCCATCAGCAAAAAGGGATGAGGTGGGGCTGTGCAAGAGGAAAGTGAAAAAGCAGGTGGCTAGTGGCTTGGCAGAAAGGCCAACACACCTATGTCAAGCCAAAACCAACTGATAGATTTTTTTACCTTATTTGGAACTGTTGGCTCTGAAAAAGTGGGGAGGGTGCCACCTGAAATTAGAGATGTGGTTAGAGTTACAAAGGCAACTAACTCATCCGTTTTCTGATAGCATATGACTTATGCCCACAAACAGATTTCAGTAACGTATGAGCATTTCTCTAATATTAGACCCCTCTGTCATGAGGCCTCAGTATTTCACCTTCAGGGCATTTCTGACCTATCAAATGAACTGGAGTTATTTGGCTGTGCTGACCCTTGCAGCACATTTGTATGAAAATGCTGCTTTGTCAAACCCCTTGGACACTCATTGCTCAGACTGCCAACCAAACCAATGCTTAGGGAGATATGTCTCGCCATTGTGGATATGCAGGGGATCACTTAAAAGCCTAGGGCAGTGATTTCCAATTGACAAGAGATTCATTAAAGGGTGCCGCCATATGTTAGCCCTGCTAGGTGCGCAAACATGATTTACAAGTTAAACCCAGAGATTTCAAATAGGAATAGTGCACTGCAAAACTGGACAGTGGGAAACTGCATCCCTGAAAAAGATTCGTGTAATTCATATCTGGCCCTGCAAAAGCACTCTCACAAATGCAATCCTTTTGCCTAGTCATTGGGATATTCACATCTGCAAGACTAAGCCCTTGAAACTTATAGCGGAAAAAATTAGTTGCATCTATGTGACCATATTCTCAGTAGAAACCTATCTGTTCTCCCATTGTAGTCAACAATACTTTCCCACTTCTAATGGTAAGAGTAGTCAGGACTTTACTGCATTTAAAAGTTGTATCCATATAACATTTGGCAAGACCTGCTACCTTGGTTAGGAATCTAAAAATGTTGAGAACCACTTATTTAGACCAGGAGACCAGGGAATGAATGGAGTCTGGTTAAAAATGATAACTCTAGTGTTAGGATCTAGCTGGGATTAGAGAGTCTGAAGTATTTTCTAGGGTTGGGTATTTGACTGGTCAAATAAAGTTCAGTCAATTGACCAGTCAAATATTGGTCAAAAATTGTAAAAAAATGCCAGTAGATCCAAATACTATACAGAAAAGCATACATTTTCCATTCAGAAATGTGTCAAAAACAATAAAAACTCATTTTTCTGTCAAGCAAACCACAAAAAATGTAGGGTTTTTTTTTGTTACATTGCTATAATATTTGACTGGTCAAAAATATGCAGTCAATTGACCAGCTTGCCAACCCTAGTAATTTCATCTATACTAATGGTTTTGCACATTTAATCTAATCACCTGGAATGCACCACAGTCCCCTCTATTCATCTTTGAATTTCAGATTTGCTCATTTGTCAAGTTCTGTCATAATGTTTCTTTGTCAGGCTGTTCTGCTCGGCTGCATCACTAAATTTTAGAGTGGCTCATCCACTGAGCCCACACAAAGAAGAAAGCCAGTTTCCCATGGACTGAGAAATCAGTAGTTGGTAAGATAACAATTAAACTGATGGGACTGTTCAGTTCTTGCCCTGCTGACACATCATGAATAACCAGATCCAAAAGAAACCAAATTCCCGACCCCAGCTAGATATGCATCCGTGCAAAAATGTCTTGCAAACCAGGTTATTTATTCTGTTAGGTTTTCATTTTATTAAGACTTTTGGCACATGCCACCTTGTTAAGGGGGGCACTGGGCGTAGCAGAGTATACTTCCGTTACTCTGTTTAGAAGCATCTTTTTGCATATGCTTCCATTCTAAAAATAATTAATACATTTCAGTGACCGCAACTTTATTTCCAGGTGTTGTTATTTTTTGCCTTTCAAATGGTGGCAGGTACATGGCAATGTCTTCAGGGTAGAAACCATGCCATCTGTGTCCATTTGTACACCAGAGAGCACTCTGGGGCTGATTCTGATTTGAGTTTATGGACACTACTGTAATAAATAAGCCTGACTCGTCCTCCAATATTGGTTGTAAACTGGGGTATCTCTGCTGACATCGGATCCTGTTTTAAGTGAAGGAACAATCAGGGGGTATAATAATATGATTATTGTTACCGATGGTGGAACATTTCTGCCATTTTAGTTGTCTAGAATGGTTTAGTTGTCTATCATTAAACACTTTATACAAAGACAAGGCTCACATCCCACCGGCTAGGACAATGTTGACTTCTTTCTTGGTTGATTCCCAGTTAAACATGCTCCTGATTAACTTTTGTCTGAAACTGATTCTAGCAGCATATGAACAATGAAGCTACTCTACCGTCAATAAGGTTTGATGTCCACCCCTGGTAACACCGTAGCCTATTTAAATGAACTGGGAGAATAGTAGTAGCCAAGCTGCTGCTTAGGATAAATCGCTTTTGGTTCTTGAAAACCATCCTCACTTTCTCAATCATTGCTTTTAGTAGAGAATAGTGACTGACAGTTGCTATGAAGTCCCATTCACAAGATGCTCTTAGTCAAAAGAGTATTCACACACACACCTACCAGGATATCCTACCTGCTTACAGCTTAAATAGAAACATAGGAACAAAGGTAGCACTGGAATTGCTGCTTCAAACCCTGGCCAACTGATGCAGCAAACAATCCCCCAAAACCCCAAGAACATCTTAAAGCAGGCTGCAGGCAAAAGCAGGGCAGATGAAGGTATGGCAATGCCCTGCAATATAGCAACAGGAAATTGGGTAATGTATGCTCAGAAGATCTTAAGATGTCCCACACTACAGAAGAAGATAGAAGTAATAATAATAAAAAAGTCTGTTCCAGTCTGATCTAAAGGAAAAATATCCCCAGATTCTGTGACTAGTCTGACACTAAGCAGAAGACCAAATTCTCTTGCCAGATTTTCTAACTATTATCAGAAGTATCAGCATAGCATGCTCCAGTCAAAAACCTCCAACCTGAAGTACCTCGGAGAGGGGCACAAGCAAACAAAAAATCCACCCTAGAAGTCAGTAGCATTCTTGAAAGGAAAGAAATTCGTTCCTGGAAGCAATTGGCAACCAGCAAAAACACAGAGACATGGGATTATCAGACGCCTTCCACACTTTTCAGCCAGGGTTCTTTGGGTGAATCTGATATCTTTTATTAGACCAACTTAAATAGTTGGAAAAAAAAATTCCTACTATTTAAGTTGGTCTAATAAAAGATATCAGATTCACCCAAAGAACCTTGTCTGCCTGTGTCCTTAGACCGACACGGCTACAACCTACACCCCTTCCACACTTTTCTACCTCAACTGGGGAACCAATGATTCCAAATTCCACACAGTTATTGATGTGCCAGAAATGGATCAAAGACAACAGGTACTGCAAACCAAAGGGTAACAAAGATGGCTGTGTTTGTAGTACTGCTTTGAAGGGACATGCAAATAACCAAGCATACATCTTCTTTCCTTCCTGTGTTTTTTAAATCAATCTACGTAGTGGTGTGGGGGGAAGAAATGTAGATTTGTCTGCTGCGGAAGACTCTGTGGATGGCTGAATTATGAGTCTGACATAGGAAAAGCCATACAAATTAAACTCATTTCAAGATCTGATCTGAAACCCCCTGAAGTTAATAACTTTTCCATTGACTTGAACAGGCTTTGAATCAAATGCCAGTTGCAAGAGGTTTACACAGACTTTTAAAATTTTTATTTGGTGAATTAGGACAAATGCCTAAGAAATATTTTAGAGAAAAGCTTTTGTTCAAGTGCCATCTTTCCACTCTTATAATTAAGCCAAGCAAGGTCTAAGAAATCCACCAGTGAAGTCTAAGCAGTACAAAACAAAAAACCTGAATTCTTCAAAGTAAACATGAGAGAACAATCAGCTTTCAGCCTTTCGGTGTAACATCATAATGATTTAAAACCTCCCACAGCTTCATCCCCACTCCCCCACCCGACACATACTGGCTTTGATCATTCCCTTTTTGCAATATTTTCAATTTGTTGTTTAAAAAGTACTAGAAGAAAAAACTAGGGTTTAAAGATCCTGAGTTAGCAGTGTGTTTGCCAGGGAACTTGGAGGGCATTTTGCAGTTACCCCATATTTACCTACGAATTTCACTCTATGCTTTGTTTTGTTTGAATTTTTTTTTCATCATTTTTTTCTGGTTTCCAAAGACTCATCTCAGCCCAAAATGCTCACACCCTTTAGTGCAGTCCTCCGCCCCACAACGCTTACCACTGCGATAAAAGCAAATGCAAAATATTGTTTCACGAGTTCATAAAAACAGAAAGCCACTTGAATTTTTTTTCAAAAAAAACAACCAGTTAGCTACGGAGTTAGCATACTTCCTTCAGCCCCTGCATCGATTTCTACAAAAGCTCTCAGCGGACCTCTCATTGAACAGGATCTGCTCAGTGCAGGAGACAGCTGCTAAAATGACAACTGAAACCTGGATAACTGGTTTTGAAATGTCTGGAGATTATGAGCTGGGAGATTTATGCCAACAGCAGAAGCTGCCCTACGCTCATATCTACATTCCCATCCTCTACTTCTTCGTTTTTCTCATCGGCTTCATTGGCAACCTCTTTGTGATTGTGCTGATGGCCATGAAGAAGGGCAACAAGAGGATGGTAGATAACTTTGTCCTGAATCTGGCTGTAGCTGACCTGGTCTTCGTCTGCACCCTGCCTCTCTGGGCACTATCAGCAGCTCATAATAATCACTGGTACTTCGGAGAAAGTCTGTGCAAGGTCAGCAGCTACATCATCTCTGTGAACCGGTGTTCCAGCATCCTATTCTTAACGGGCATGGGTGTGGAGCGTTACCTGGTGGTCATGAAACGTGTGCGCTCCAAGTCCTCCGTGACTAAGAAATGTATCTTCACCACCTGTGGCTGCATTTGGGCTCTCTCTCTCCTTCTGGGCATCCCATCTCTGCTGTACAGGAAGCTCAACGCCTCTGATAAATTTTGTCAGGACGAGGACTCTTCTGCTTACCGCAAGTATAGCCTGGCGTTGCTCATCTTGACCTTTCTCCTACCCTTAGGAGTCATCTTGTTCTGCTATTGTTCCATCTGCATCAAGCTGCTGAGCCATATCAGCATGGGAAAGGGGACAAAGAATTCCCTCAAGATCATCTTTACCATCATCAGCACCTTCATCTGCTCCTGGCTGCCCTTCAATGCCTTTAAAGCATTCCTCATTCTCTCTAGTCCTTCAGAGCTCAATCAAGAATCATCACTCTCTTGCTCAGCACAGACTGCCATCAAATGGGGTCTAAGCCTTAGTATTTACTTGGCTTTCATGAACAGTTGCATCAATCCCATCATCTATGCCTTTATGGATCACCACTTCCGTCGCCGGGTGCAGCTATGCTGTTTGCACTTCTTTTGCGCTTCCCAGAAGCCAACCCAGGGCTTGGTCTTCTTTTCATCTGCTGCTGAGTCCAGCCTCATGTTTGCCAGCAGGAATAAGCCGTCATCATCTATTTGCCATCAACCAAGTATGTAAGACTGGAAAAGGGAGGCTTATAATACTAGCCTGTGACTTGTGGTTTGAGCATCTTTACTGCTTTTTGTGAGTATATAAAATGAGCCACTCATTCTGAGGTGTCAGATTAAATTTGATAAGGCAAATCACCGCCCTTTCATGAAGGACCTCTCTGTTATAGCAGTATTAGGCAACAGATATACATAGAACTACTATAAGGTTCTGTATCATAGGCATATCAATTGTCAGTAGAAAATTTATTCAGTTCTTTGCTGGTGTAACTCCATTAATGTTAATGATGCTATATTAACACACACACACAGTATCTCTACAAGCTCTAATGAATTACAAAAAAAAGGAAGAAGTTAAGATTTTTTTCAGTTCTGACAGGGAGATTTAATTGGACTGCTCCCAGTGAAATTAACTTCTCAACCAAAACCTAATCTAACCAATGCTCTCTTCTCATTTGGGAGAAGGAAATCTCATTTGGTGTTGCCTACCACCATGTCTCCATCTAAACCAATTTTATATCTAGTGACTCTGTCCTTTTGGGGAGTTAAATAAATGGAGAAATGGAGGACACACTCTGACTATGGTATCACAGCAAGCACAATCATTAGGCTCTTTATTTAGTTTTGCTTAAGCATTGAAAGTCCAGTAGCTGAAGTAGTGGGAGCAGGAGCAGGACTGGCTGTGGGTCCACGTAGGTTTGTTTAAACAACAAATATAGAAAATTGTGTAAAAGTTTGGGTCCAGATTCTGATCTGAGTTACACCAATATAAAGCCAGAGAACTGAGCAGGCACAGTCTTAACTCATACATGTGATCCCTGTTAACATAGTAGCCTTACTGATTTCAGGCAGAATACACTCCAAGTATTTGCACAATTAAAAGGCTACGTAGATTTGGTCTCCCATGTCAAGAGATCGAAACTAGGAGTAATTTAGACTGGAATCAGACCTCGGGTATAGAGTATAAAATCTAATGTATGTTGTTAGCATTGCAGTTATATTTTACAGTGTTAAAGCAAATTTAATCACTTGCTTGCTTCTGTTGTATTTTATTTTATATAATGAAGGCAGAATTGCTGAAATTGTGACCATGTACTTAAAAAAAGAGCTCTCCTCTTGTTAAGTAGTTACATTAATAAGCTTAATACATGAAAAGAAATAGATCCAGTAACAAGAATGTGATGTTAATTAAAAACTAGTAATGTGTTTACTATTAAAAATAACCCTGGTCTTATAATATGCTTGTGCAATATATACTTTTTTAATACTGAGCCACTATGCAGAGTGACCTGGCATGGACAACCACTTGCTGACTCTAAAATCTGCAACCTTTGGTACTAATCGTTGGGAGTGTAACTAGGATTGGGTAAGCAGGGCTGCTGGCAGCCCCCAGGGACACTGTAGCAGTAGCAGCCGTGTGTGCACGGGGAACTGTGCAGCAGCAGTAGCCAGGCTCAAGTAATGGTCTCTAGTGCTTAGAAACCCCAACTCCTGTTCCCGGTCCTTCATCCTCTCTGTCCAGGGGACAAAAATCTCTAGTCACCTTCTACTAATCATTCAGCAATGCAACTAATTTACAATCTAGTCTTCAGTGATCGTGTGGATTACAAAACAATACTGATAACACTGGATTTATTACATTCAATTTATACTCAGTTTCCATGCATTATACAGCATGACTTTTTCATGACTTTGAAAGAAGCCAGGCACAAATGGATGACAGACCTATCAATTAAACATCAATTAATAGTAGTTATTAAAAGGACTGCTTGAGGTTTAACAACTAATTGACATGTCTGTTGCCTTCTGTTCAATCCTATCAAGTATATTTTTAATAAACAGATGCTACTTCAAGTGTCACAAAACATGCATTAAATCTGAGTGGCACCTGTGCTAGGACATGGCTAATATTAGTATATGCAAGAAATGGAGGCTGAGGGACTTCAGCTGAATTTTTAGTCATTTACCTTGCATTGAGGCAGGAGAAATACATCATCCCTAACCTATGTTTGTCCAACCTGTTCTTAGAAACCTTCAGTGAAGGAGATTTTGCAGTACCCCCAATAGGTTGGAGGCTTCCCTGGATAGACTTGAGGCACTGCTCAGAAAATGCCAGCTCTTGTTTTTCACATTTTTTTTTTTACTATAAAAAATAATAGAGCAAATTTTCTGATGCAAAAAACTTAGAAATCCATAGTTGTGGTCCCTCTCTCTGAAATCTCTGGGATAACCTTTTGAATCATGATTGCAAACTAAATAGTGCTAACAGCGTGCAGCATCCTGCAGCACCCTTAAAAGGATCTCATGGCACCCTGATTGAGAACTACTGCAGTAGAGGAAGCTGAAGAGAAAAAGTGAGGTCATTTATTATAAAGGAGTGACAGCTCTGCTATAGTTAAGGTCGAGTACTACTTCCTATTTACAGGTCAAGATACCTAAGTGCTCCAAGACCCATGTGCATACTCAAATTGCCTTGACGGTTGGTGTGCTTTTTGGGTGTGCATGATAGGATTGCAGATTCAAATTTGGGGTCATTTCATCAACAGATTCCTTAGAAACCAGCCTTCAAGCATTACAGTTTACCAAATTTTTTCTGCACATATTTGGTATTCAATTGACTCCATAATTATCTCAGGTATTTGCAGCTTCTTCATATGCAGGTAGCATATGATACCTCTCTCCTTCCCTCCCCCTGCTTTCAAAAATGGCTTTCAAAAAGAGCTGTGCTTTCTCCCTAGGCACACACCTAGCTGTAACATGCCAAGCATATGGACTCATGACATCAGGCACAAGGTTGCCATTCACCCGATATTAGGCATTATCCCAGGTACCCCTGTACAGTACAGGAAGGAGAACAGATTGAGTGGGCTGGAAAGGTGGGGGCGAAATATAGGTATGCTTTAAGGAAACACATAGTTAACTCGTGGAGCTGTCTACCACAAAATATCACTGAGGCTAAGAACTTCGAAGTATTCAAAACAGTTTTGTCCCGGGGAATGCTCCTGTATGCATGCACCAGTGCGTGGCAAATTGACCTGGGTGGGGTAGGGGAGACTGGGGCCAGCACTTGTGCTGTCCCCAACAGCCTTAACATGGGGTCCTGGGGCATCAGCAGCATTGAGCCAGCCACTAGGAGCAGAGCTCTGGTCAGCCAGGCTCCATTTCTGGTGCTGCATGGTGCTGCCCCATGTGCCACACCACTTGTGTAATGGTGGGGGTTTTTTACGGTGGGAGATACTGGTGTCAAACCCCCCCCCCCCCCAAAAAAAAACAAAAAACTGCTGTGCTTGAAATTAGCAGTGCAGTGCATGGGTACATATGTGCTGTGTGTGGTTTGTGGTGTTTCAGCTTTGAGGCACCATAAACCACATGTGCACATTCATCAGAATGTGTCCCCGGCGAGCAAGAGAGCAGGGGTGGAAGTTGAGCCCAGGCTTTGAGAAGCTGCTCAAAGCTTCTCAGTGGCCTAAAGGGAGGTCAGGTAAGATGCACAGTGCCCAAAGTTCTGGACTGGCCAAAATCTTCCAGTCTAGTTCACTTCCACATCAGAAAGCTTCAAGATCTGTCGCTATATAACAAAACTTGTCCAAACCCTGCATCTGGAAAGGCAGGGGAGACGAGTCGGGTGTAGAGTGTATGTGAGAGATGTGTGAGAGGAGTTAGCATTAGCAATTTACTCTGGGGGTCTAGATCTCTCTTAGACTACAAACATAATCACCCAGGTCCTGTCACTGTCAGAGTACAGGAAAATGTTTCCCAGCATCTTCACACCACCAGCAGCTTGAAGTCAGTCTGTAGTGAACTGAACCTGCAGGATACTGTATTTCCCACCAGAGGGTACTGCTGCCCAGCAGAAACATCATCTTCCATTTCTCCCTCTCCCAGGTAACTAACTATTGTATTTCTTCAAATAGGACACATTTTAAAAAGACATATTCCTTCTAAAACTGGCCTTCATCTTAAATTTGATTAACTAGACAGTAAAAAAAATTCTCATATACATCATGGAGTATTGTTTGGGTGCATCATTTCCATTACTTCTCAACCTTTTGGCTCAAATCAAATGTATTAGGGGGTGGAGGGTTGTGTGCATGTGTTTTTGAGGGTTTTTTTGGGGGGGTTGTTTTTTTTTTTTAACTGCAGAATGTTTGAAACCTCCCCCTCCCTCTGCAGACTTTACAGCTAGGGACAGAAGTTACACATAAACCAGTCTAAGTGATCAGACACTGGTTTAAATCTGTAACAGAACAAAAGTTCAGTGCACATAAACCAGTTTCAAGATGGCTGAAACTGGTTCAAGATAAACCTGGCTGAACATAGTATCAGGCTTAACTGAGTGATTGAGGTCAAACTGCTTTATGGAACTTCTGTCCCAGATGCCTTCCTGGTTTAAGCTAAATCAGAGTCCCCCAGCATCCCAGCATGCTTTTCAGCCCTGAGCTGGGCTGGGCTGTGCTGTCTGCTCCAGACAGCAGGGCTGGCCCTGCCCCTCTTCTCCCCAACACTATCACTGCTCCAGCTGACTGAGAAGGGGATGGGCGACTGCAGCAGGGTCTGCCTGGCAGGGGCACAGCACCATCCAACAGGCTTCCCCCCACCCCATCCTCCCCACTCACTGTTCAAGCAGGGATCCCCCTCTCCCTCCCCTCCCATCAGCAGGATCTCAGCCGGGATCCCCCTTTGCCTCAGGCTACCGCATCTGGCCATGCCCCCCATGCTAGCTAATGCTGAGATGTGTCTATGTGTGCATGTCTCCAATTTCACTGGACAGGAGGCAGACAGAACAGTGTCCACTTAGGGCTTTCTGGAACTAATCAACAGGTCAGCTGGGAATATCTGTCAGCCAGCCAGGGTTGCAGTATGAGCATGAAAGCAGAGCTCCCTCCCTTCTTCCTGAGTTTCTTTGAGGTTTGTTGTGTCTCTCCTGCTTTCGCCACCCTCTCCACACTTCCCCCGCCACCCTCTCCACACTTCCCCCGCCACACACCAAACATCCAGACCTCTGCTGACCACTTTGCTTATTCCCCAGGATTCTTTATATAGGGATTAACCTTCCCGTCACAGCGAGAGAGCAAGGAGTGTGCGGGTACATTTATCGCTCCCGCTGAGGTCTACAGTTGCATTGCTGTGATTATTAGTGGTAGCAGTGTGCGTGTGTCTGGGATCTCTCTCTATTTAGCTTCTTTGTTTCTTAAATGGGATGAAGCTAGCAGCAAAGCAGCTCTATTTTATAGCTACAGTCTAGTTGCCGTGAGAAAGCGTGTGAGTGGGGATCAGCGTGGCTGAGCAAGAAGCCGGTAGCTTGCAAAAGCCTTGTAAATTCCTGCACCCTACAGGGGTGTAGGTGATAGCCGTGTTGGTCTGAGGACATAGGCAGACAAGATTCTTTGGGTGAATCTGATATCTTTTGTACCAGATTCACCCAAAGAACCTTGTCTGCACACTACAGGTAAGAAGAGCTTGAACTAATGAGAGAGGCGCTTTTATTTTCTTTTGTAGTCAAAAAGCAACTTGATGGGCTGATATACTTTGTGTTCTGATAAGCTCCCTGCTGGCTTGCTTCAAAGCCGTCAGAGTGCAGGCATCCCAAGTGCATCCCCTGCCCCAAAACCCTTATATCAAATGAAGTTTCACTATGCAGCGATTCATGCTGGTGATTGCTTCTCCGCATCAATTACCGAGCCTGGTTAGAGTGCAGCTTCCTAGTCCTGCAATCTGTTAGTGTTCAATAGGGGACAGAGAGAGGTGTGAGAAATGACCTGGTTTGCAATGAATGGAACCTGTCAGTTTGAGATTTAGGCAAATATGAAGCATTAGCTAGCAGGCTAATAAGAAGGTGGCAGCAGATCTGCCTGGAGCAAACCAGTTCACACTGTCATGCTGCTCTCATCAACGATTTGGGAAGTGGCTGTAAATACCCCAAACAACAAGAGAACAGAGGCACTTCTGAGAGGCTTTGGTGCCACTTACTTCCTGTCTACAGCTGCAGACGGTACGAAGAAGCAGTGAAAGAGAGATTGAAATGCTCATGCACTATCATCCACCGATGCGTGCACTCCACACAAGCAGCTCCTCTCTCCCCTCCCCACCCCACTTTGCCTCAGAGTGCTAACCAGGGGCCAGGGTCTGGCAACACTCCCCATCCCTTGAGCAGCAAGCAAGGAGGGGAGGTGGTGGGGGAAGCCGGACAAGGGCTGCTTCCCTTTCCCCCTCCAGGCATACCT